ACACATGTGCCTGGGCAGTTAGATACAGAAAGGAGCACATACACTCAGAGCTGTAGTGTTTTAACACTGTGATCCTAACTTTACACTATAAAATAACACTTTAAATGATGACAATGTAGACCACCATTGCTCTAGTAATTAATGATAACAATTTAGGCTATAATGCTCCAAAATAATTCACAACAATGTGTTGTGTTGGCCAATCACTGGGCTGTCGCTGGGCCGCATCACACACACAGATACAAACATAGCCTAATGGCACAATTATTCACAGAGCCTTAGGGGAAACGTATTGTCATTGCCACCATTTTGTTGAAATGTTAATTGGTTAGCTTTTCAAGTTGGCTAACTCAGTGATGACTGAATGAATTTATTATTCAATACGTGTTTATTCACATTGGAAACCATATTTTCCCGCTCTGCCACTGGAATTCCCACCCTTAAAATGCCTTTTCTCCCAACAGTCTGAAAGGTCTTTACACAACACAGTCTCACTCCCTACTCGTCAAATGTCTGACGCATGGTCAAGGGACCCTGGCGTCACTTTTTTGACGCACTGGGTATACCTTCGGCTTCATTTTTCAACGTGCAGGGCAGTCCAATAGACTTCTATAGAACTCAACAGCGTTGAAATTTGACGTCTTGGGTCGATCACCACACCGCAACCCGTTGTCTGCCTTGTGGGTCGAGACAACAATAAATAAAAATAAAAAGGAATACGCTACCAAAAATTATCTATACCAGGGCGATTCAAATGCCCTCCAACTGGTGTTTGATGTTTAAAAACCCTCGCAATCTGATATCAAAGGGCCCTCAAAAGTTAAGCGCGTTCATCAGCGGTGAGTTTAACAACGCACATGGTGTGCAACCACATTCAGCGGTGAGTTTAACAACACTCAACTGCAGGTAAAACAGCATTCAGAGGTGAGTTTGACCAAAGCAACGCACAACTGCAGGTAAAACGTAATTAAAAGGTGAGTTTAACGCTCCAATGCGCGTGCAAGTATGCAGTTTTAAAGCGTTTTCTTATCATAGGTAAAACACTAGAGCATGCTGGATAACGTATTTTTATCAGAGGTTTGTTGATTTTAATATGCTACGATTGTGTTCAATTAATCATTTTTTAAAAATTATTATTTTTACTAAATCCTCTAAATTAATAACGCTGACGTCACCGTATGGGCGATCCCAAGGTCCATTGCGATTTTCCACTCGGTAAGTAGAAGGGTTCATTAATAGAGATGGATACTCTTCTTACATTTACACATCAAAAACGGTTGGATCAGGACAAGAAATTGTGTTTAGAAACTTTAGATTTGTAAAGTGGCCCTTTCTTATGACGAGAAATGATAGAAGACATTATAAAAAATATAGCTTGAACTGCACCAAATGTGCAGGCTAGCAAAGTTAGCTAAGTTAATTGAATTCAAGTTCATATGTGTCGCATATTATCATGTAAGGTACAATCATAGGGGAATGTAAGATTTTCACACTGAGACATACCGTGTTAGCTGTAATACATGTCTGCGTTGGGAATCTTCTTGTGGTTGTGTGTCGTTGCTCTTTGCCCAGTGTTTTGTGCCCATTTATACACATGCTAGTCAGTGTAACTTATAACTGTGTCTATGCTATGAAAGCATAGACATGAAAATAAAAAAGCACATTAACAAATTAAATCAGTGTTAATTAAAAGCTAGTGTTAAAAACTACTATGACTGCTGAGGGAACTTTTTGATTAAAATGATCACAGGGAAAAAGTAAAAGAAATGTGTTTCCTTGTTAATACAAGTATAATTAATAACATAAAAATATTAAAAATGGCACTGATTATCAGCCAAGCTGACATTTTGAATGGTTGGTATCAATATCAGACATGAGTGTCAAGATCAGTCCATAACTAGTGAGTTATTGTATTGTGAGTTTGCAAGCAACAACCAGCCCTACAGTATTCTGGCCTAATATTACTATACGCACCCACAGACCTCCCCACCACAGCCCAAAGCATGGGCAAACTAGACCAACATTTTCTCAAGTTCTTAAACCTTTCAGTTATTTAGTATTTATGTAGTTGTATGTAGCATGATCTTCAAATCTGAATTTATTATCTTTCCCTTCTCTCAACAGGTTCCCTAGCCCCTTCATCATTTACTTCAAAACCTCAGCTTCGTTACAAAGCAAAAACAAAGGCACTTTTAAGAGCCACTTTTGTCTAGTTAATTGTTGTTAGTCTGTCTGGTTCTCTGTTGTTCTTGCTCTTTTGCTCTTCCCCCCTATCCCTTTAGTGTTGTCTTGTTTGTCCTTGTTCACCATGAGTGACAATTCCAATTTCAAACAGGTCCTTAATGAGCTTGATGAGCTTGTTGAACATTCTAAATTAAATTATGAACTCCAGATCTTGGATGATTTCATCAATAAGATGCAGGGAGAACAGGAGGCAGCACCATCCACCAGCCATCAACCAGTCCAGGAGGCAGCACCATCCACTAGCCATCAACCTGTCAGGTGGCTGAAGAGAGACAGTGATGGAAATGTTGTCTATGACAGACCGAGATCATCCCGAAACCAAACGGGTCAGTTTTCTTTTTTCAGTCATATTACTTAAAGGAGTACTCCTGTGATTTTTCACATAGATCTAAAACGGAGATATAGATTGTTTTACCACTTGGAATTGAATACATGAATCAGTCATGTGTCTGGTATGAGATATGAGGTTTTTATTACATACTCATGATCATCCAAAGTGGTATAGACAATGAAATTGGGCCAATAAAAGTATGTATCATTGTGTGGAATAAAATGAGCTTGTCAAAATCTATGGAATTGTAATGCTGTAAAGGTTGATTTGGGTTTATTTTCTGCTACAGCTAGTCACAGCTACAGTCGTAAGTCTAGTTCTCATACTAGGATGTTGGACAACAGCTTTGAGATAACCAACTACTGTCCCCCTGACACTGTTGGTATGTTCTTTATTTTGTGTCTATTAGTTCATTATGTTTATAGATTCTAATAATTAGAATGTAAATTACATGTTTTTGCGACAGAATAACCGACAACATGTTGCACACTTTGATAGTGTAGAAAATTGTTTTTAAATATGATGTACTATTTTAACAGAGACTTTCCTTGAAGAGCTAAACCACTCACGGCACCAGCACCACCACGAGCTTCCTCAGACTGGTCTACTAGAAAAAGTCTCCTCTCAGAGAGGTGGGAGAAAGAGAGACCCTGTCTGGTGAATACCATGGTGGCACAACAAAATGTGAACACTCAGATCTGCCAACAATGTGGCAGCAGTGCAGCTGCTGTCCGTTGTCGTGACTGCCGACCACAACCATTCTTTTGTGCTGATTGTGATGTCAGTATACACCGAAACCATGTGTTCCACAACAGGGATGCAACAATAGCTGGATTCTTTCAGCCATTGCCTCCAACAACCTGTGTCGTGGAGAGGGCTCTTTCCCAGTGTGGTAAGCTCTATTTCTTTGAGTGTCTTATTTAGGGCTGCACAATTATTGCAATCGTAATTGCAATATGATCCAACGCAACTGCCTAATGGTAAAATCTTCAAATATCATTTGTGACATTTGACTTTTATATTCACGTCATCCTCCTTGACTGTGCAACTTCTGGTTGGTGGGTGTGCGTAGTGTGTGAAGGGGACAAAAATTCTGATTGGTGAACTTCAGTCGGTCAGTGGATGTTAGTCTTGTACACTGGCTGTGCTTACTTATCAGGGGTGGCACAAATTAAAGAGACATTTGGAATATTGAACTGAATCAAATCATACACATTCAAAAATTGAATTGGAAATGGTAATCGCTTTATCTGTCAGAAAAAGTGCAATTATATATTGTGCAGCACTAGTCCCATTCTCAGTTTATTTAAATAACTTTACAGTATAAAGGCTTCACAGGAATGTTTTGAGTACTTTCTCTGAAACACACTTAATGACCTTTATCTTTAAAGCTTTTCAAATCATTGATAAAAAAGAAAAAGAAAATGATTGCAGAATACTTCCCAGTTAGTACATAGGATGATGCATGTCTTTAATCCCTGCATATGATGTGTCTTTCAGTGTGTATTGTGCCGTTGGAGATTCCCAAAAAAATATGTAGTTGTTCTCCGGGATCGTTGAGTGTCAACACAGGAAAAGTTGTTGCTGTGGTTACAATGAATGGTAAGAATAAAATGAATTTAAGGGAACATTCCAGATCAAGTGGCTTTAGCGTCCATATCACATTCTGGGCAAAGTGCCCATAGGGACCTGGGTTGGACTTTAACCTGATTCCACCCCATAGGGCTCTCCCACTCGCTTCCTGCCACTTTTCATTGTCCTATTTGAATAGAAAAAAAACAAGGCAGTGCTATTGGCTTTGTAAATGTGTCCTGATCTATTTCTATTCAAACGTTCCCTATAGTGGTCTGCGCTGGGCAGGATTTTCAGTCCTGTGCCCCCCCGTTCCCACAATATTCTGTCCCGTTCCGCAATAATGTGTTTTAGTCCCGCTCCCGCGGGTATTGGAGCAATTTATCAACTCAATCACTCAAAACATTAGACCTGTGTATAAGATCAAGTAGTGATGTCACATCCTAGTCATGCAGTTTGCATTCAGAAAAAAAACAAATAGGTCCATAAAGACATTGGTTAAGTTTGCTGTGGGAGTCGAGTTTGCTGTGGTCTTTTTTGGGGGGGACTTTGGTCGTGATGTTTTTTGTCCGTGACATACAAAGAGCCAAAAGATTTCCAAAGATCCACTGGGCTGAGCAACTGCCTGTGGAGGCTCGATGCAGGAGGATTTGGTGTCACCTTTGACCTTATTAACTTTAGTTAACTTAACTGTGAATTATGTTGACATGTTTTACTGTTCTGAAACAGACTGGGAAGATCACAGCAGACAGCTTCAGAAAAAGCTTTTTGGAGTGGGAGGCTGTTAGATTTGAAGTGGATAAGATCTGCAGGGAGGAGCATTTTATCTGTCCTGCATGCACGCACCCCAGACATGCTTGCTGTTTCTGTGGACGGAAATCGCAAGCACTACCGCTTTAAGAACGCAGCAAGGTACTTACAAAATGTGTGTGATTTGCAGTGTTGTTAAAGTAACCTTTGCAGTGTCATATTGAAGGTCAATGTGTACCTTTCTTTCAATTAGATCTGAAGAACAGGCCTTATTTGATGGCATCTTCATTGCAAAAGATGATGAAGTAGAAAGATTTGTGGATTACATTCATTCCAACACCAACCATGTAAACTTGTTGTATAATATTTCTAAAAACACGACCAATAACATTTTACAGTTGACATTGTTTGGGTGAGTCCTGACTATTTATATCAACCTTTTTCCATGTTGTAGGTCTCTGGAAGAGGTGTCTGTGGAGGGGAGTGGTCAGCTGCCAGGGAAACTTCTCAGAGATCCTCTAGTAAAATTGATGAGGAGGGACTTGAGCTTGCGGTCTGTCGACATGGAGTTTTTCTCGGCACTCTCAACATGTTCAGGGGAGAAATATATGCTTATCCCCTCTACCTGCAGAACAAGCTGGCAAATAAGTCAATAAGCTTTTTTGCCATGGATGTAACCTGCAAGTACTGGCCCTACCTCAACAAAGTGACAAAAAGCTGCCCGGAGCTCCAGCACCTTCTGAGCATGAAACCATTCCTCTCAGTGTTTCATGCCAAAGCCCATGATTTTAAATGCGAGGTAAGAAAACATTACCATGTCATTAACCGTCCCTAAACACCTGCAAAGGTATGTTGGCAGCTTTAAAGTATTTTCTTCAATAGGTTAAATGGAGTGGAGCTTACCAGCAAGGGGCCGGATTGACACTTGGGGAGGAGGTTGAGCAGTGTAACGCCTTCCTCTCTAGGATTGCTGTGACCACAAAGCACATGTCCAAAGCAGGTAAGGTAACCACACACTGCACTACTTAGATTGAAAGTGTTACAAGAAAATTGTAGCCAGTGAGGGACATGTGGTACAACACAGATTAGTGTATTTTTTTTCTTTTTTACAGGACGTACAGACATGCTTACACTGATGGCCATGCGCTGGAATCAGCAAAAGTTTAATAACTTGGTTGCTTCACTTGCCTGCCGATATCAGAAGGTAGGTATGAGTATTGTTATTTTCTTATATTGTAAATACCTTCTATTGTATATTTTTGTAGGTATAACATTTTTATTTCATTTCCTTTTTTTGTTATTTGAAGGCCGCAAAACGCCTGGAAAGCCAACTTCAGAATCTGGAAAGCATGAAAATCCAGCTGGCAGTGACACAGGTTGAAGTTGAGGGCTGGGTCACTGATATTAAGGAGTGGGCAGAAGGTGATAGTTATACTATTATTTCAATGTCTCAGTTCTGCAGAATAATGGGAGACATGCTTCTGCAAGTAATTACTGTTTCAAAATGAAACCATACATACACTGTTTTCTTGGTCATTTACTTGTGCAGTTAAAATGCCAAATTTTAGTATGTAGTGCATGCACACTGGAAATCATGTCAAAACAAAGTGCCCTGAAAGTACCTGAATGGTGCACAGTCCAAAAGTTGGAACATTGGACATTTCGGTGACATTCAACACTTTATTTTAAGGTGTCCTTCTTAGAGTGTAATTATACATTTAAATACGGAGTAATATTAATTAACTACATGGACTTACTATAGGATTAGGGTAGGATTAGGATTTGGTTGAGGGTTAGTTACATGTAATTATGCATAATTTATTGTTATTACTATTTTAAGTTCATGTAACATATGTAACAAGGACACCGTAAAATAAAGTGTTTCCGACATTTCTTGCAGTTAGCGGATCCCATCTTGGCTACGTTGTCATTTTCTTTGGTACCCTGTTACATACTTCCTATACACGCTAATAAATATGAAATGAATATTGAGACTCACCTGTCCTTCCTCCAGGAGCTTTTTTTTATAAGGAAAAAAAAAGCAGCAAAGAGGTTAAGGTAATCCTTATGACTTCCCTGTGGTGTTCTGTGTTACACTGAGACTTAGCTCGTTTCAGTTACTGCCATGAAAATGTAAGTGAAATGTTTACACTTCTTTTCTTCTCAGCAACAACATCCCAAAAGAATGCCGATCTTGACGCGGTGACCAGTAGAATGGAGGTGCTGGTGGCCAGCATTAAAAGAAGGTCCCAGCGCCTTTACAAAGACACCGATGGCAGCAAAGGTCGGGCCCAGATTCGGCGCAAAATCAGAGAGGAGAAGGCCATTCTTAGCTCTGTCGTTGAAAAATACAACAGTATGGTCCCAGATACAGAAAGAATCGTCTTTGACATCATTCTCTCTGACGAGACAGTTTGGCCATGGCAACTTTCACATGGTGGTATGTACACAAATCTGTTGACAGTTTTGTTTGATTCACATAGTAGCACAAAACCAATTATGCCTTATCCCAGATTATCTCAAATATTATTTGAAAAATAATCATACTTACAATTTACTTATTTTCCACAACTGTATCCCAGACGCTGTAGATTTGAAAATCAAGAGGAAGGCGTTTGATGTTGTGATGGCAATAAGGAGACTTGAGGAGGAGGATTGTTCTTTCTGAGATGGCAAAGCATTGGAAATCTCTCTCCACTCGTGCAGACACACTCATGTCATCCCAGCTTTCCAGTGAGGCATTGCAAAGTACGTATTTAAGTAATGTGTTGTAATACTATACTCTACATTGTAATTTTTTTTCTGATAATTTTTTGTTTTACTCCCATAAGGTGAGCTGTGGGCTCTAAATGAAGAAGGGATCAAGGGTTTCCTCAGCTTAACTTTGAGAAAGAAGCAAGAAGTCACCAGAATGATGAAGCATGCAAGAGACTGCTATGCTCAAGTTTTGACTGGAACAAGTATGGACTTCCAGAATGATTGGGATGGATACGACAGTGATTCTGAACTGTCAGATTGAGGACTGTCAGTTTGAGGAGCTCTCGAAGTGATAAATGACCAGTTATTCACTTTTGGTTCGATTTCTTTTATTTGTCAGTGTTTCCTTTGTTTGTTTGTTTTTAGTAGTGGGGGCAGGTCCAAAAAAATCACCAGTTAAAGCTGCCGTCGGCAAATTTTTTTTGATCATATTCAGTGAAATCGACACTATAATCGCCCTATTTCTGATACCGTGGGGGGCAGAAATGTTCAGTAGCACCTCAATGCAGTACATGAGATCCACGGGGAGGAGTCGGATCAAGATCCAAGGGGTGGAGATGGGTAGGATTAGGGTTGGGTTTAGGGATTAGGGGTGGGGTTTAGGGATCAGGGGGCGGAGTTGGGTAGGTTTAGGTGTATGTAAGGTGGGAGGAGTTGGATCTGGATCCGACTCCTCCCCATGGATTTCATGTTCCGCAGTGAGAACCATCTCGAAATGTTGCTGTGGGGGGCCTGTTATGACCCTGGGGTCATATTTTGTTGTTTGTTTATCTCTCCTGGCACTGTCAGCTGTTCTCCTCCATTAGAGTGTGTGTGTGAGTGTATGCAGGTACTGGAGAACAGGTGGACACACTGGATTGGTCTGGTTGAGCTGATTGGAGCCTCCTGATTGGGCATCTGGATGACAGCAGCCATCTTAAGCCCTACTGACAGGAACTCTGCCCCTCTCTCTGCCATTCCCAACCTGCCTGAGGACTGTGTGTTATGTCTGTGTTTATTGTACATAGTGAACGGTTGTGACTATATTCAACTTAGATTGTAAGTAGTATCGTAGTCCTTCTGATTGTCTTATGACAGCCTGGTTTTGTTGGCTTTGCCATTTTTGTTGCTATGAAGCAATTTCCTTTGTTGTAGCTATATTGTGTCAGCTACTAGCAGTGAGTAGGAGTGAGAAGCCCTTTCTTTTGTTTGCACCGTTTTCTCCTGTTTTTGGACTTAGAAGCCTAGTTTTAGAGCTTTGTCTTTTCTTTACCTTTTGGTTTTGGGTTTAGGAAAGATTTAGGTTTTTTCTTAGTGTTTTGGTTGTTGTTTTGGGCACTGCTCATCTCCGATGTATAATAAAAACTGCTAAATTGTATTTGTTGTGTGCTGGCCTTGTTTGGGAATGGGAAGAGTGGGAGGCCACACATTTATGTTACATCCAGGACACCCCTAGACCTTGGGACGTAACAGGCCACCACGGTCAAATCAACAAAGAGGAAACACTGTTTGTAAGTCAGATATGCTTGAATAATAGTAATTATCATATCTACATGTTACATTACAACAATAATAATGAATGTAGTTATACAAACTGAAATTAATTTAAGAAACTGTTTTTCGAATAGTCCTCTTCTGTTTATGGTAGAACAAAACTATGTGCAGAAAAGTTTACAGGAAGGTGTAAATATGTGTATTTTACTAATAATAATAAACATAATTCCACTGATGTCATCTGCTGTGGCAAATCTGAGTTTTCTGACAGTTTTACATGGACACACAACCCCATTTATTTCTGAATTTGGACTCTTGCATCAACTCACCTGCTACAGATGGTCTCTGAAAGCATCCTTGACAGGACTTATTCAGCTGCTTCTCATGTGCAGTGAAGGTACATAGAGGTTCAACAAATGCAAAAACTGGCCCAAAACTTGAAAATGTGACTTAATTATAGACACTATAGAGGTTATTATATACACACACAAACCAATTTTTCGGAATTTGGATGTTTAATTGGGAAGTGTCGTTGAATTACTTCAAGACTTGCTTTAATAACTACATTTCCTGACCTAAGCACTTTGATTTGCCTTATATACTATATATAAAAAAAAAAAACTACAGTTGAGTGTTTAAAAATACAGCCTAATGGCTTGTTTGATTAATTTGGATTTGTTGTACTGTTGTGAAAAACAAAAAAATAAAACTATAAAAAGAGAAGCATTTTTTATTTTTATTTTCCATGCATAGTTATTTAAAAAAGCAATTTTGTGGTTGGTTTTAAAATTTTGTGGTTGATAAATGTTAATAGCAGAGACTAAAGGGGAAAAAACACGAGAGCATATTTATGGGTGGGACTTTGATTTAAAATCACACTGCATTATTAGTAGTTTTAAAATTTAAACTTTTTTGAAATTTCAATTTATGGTTAGTATACATACAGTATACAACATGTGTTTTGGCATTTTTGGCACACTTCTTCCTCGGCTTACAGCATACAGACACAACTCGCATATCTCATTCAACCATTTCACAAGTTGATGAAAGGGTCTTGACATGGGTCAGAAGGTATTAGAAGTCATAAATGATGAACCAATCCATCAGCTCTGCTCCTACAGGCACCTTGGGGTGTATATGGACAATACCTTTGGCTGGAAGGCCCGTGTTGAAAGTGGGTGTTATCATTTAGAGCAAACACTCACAGTGAATCAGAGGGTTTAATGTTACACAAGGCTGCATTACAGAGCATTTTAATATGACTGTCATGAAGGTTGTGGAGAAGAATAGAAACCAGTCTCTCCAGGCAAGCATAAAGAATGTGGTCTGATCCATCTTTATTCTCCATACATTTTACATTTACATTTTACATTTAGTCATTTAGCAGACACTTTTATCCAAAGCGACTTACATCTGAGGTCTAAACCAAACAAGTTATCGTGAGGAGGCAATAACAACACAAGAAGTGCTCAAAATACAAAGTTCAAACATTGCTCAGAGTAGCATAAACTAGGCAAGTGAGGATTTAAAGGATTTTTATTTTTATTTTATTTTTTATGTTAAGTGCTTTCGGAAGAGATGAGTTTTCAGTTGTCTTTTGAATGCTGTCAGGGATTCTGCATTCCGGATGAGGGTGGGCAGATCATTCCACCAGCATGGAACTGTGAATGAGAATGTTCTAGAGAGTGATTTTGTGGCTCTTTGTGATGGTACCACAAGCCGTCGCTCATTGATCGATCGTAGGCTTCTGGTGGGGGTGTAGACTCGTAGGAGCGAGTGAAAGTAAGAGGGAGCTGAGACAGTGGTCGATCTGTAAGCAAGTGTCAAGGCCTTGAATTTGATGTGAGCAGAGAGTGGCAGCCAGTGCAGAGAGATGAACAGAGGAGTGACGTGGGCCCTTTTGGGCTCGTTGAAGACAAGACGAGCTGCAGCATTCCAGATCATTTGTAGATGTTTAGCTGCACAAGATGGAAGTACAGCCAGAAGAGCATTGCAGTAATCAAGCCTAGAAATAACCAGGGCCTGGACAAGAAGTTGTGTTGCCTGCTCAGTTAGGAAAGGCCTGATCTTCCTGATGTTGTGCATTTCAAACCTGCATGATCGAGCTGTCTTTGTAATGTGGTCTGTAAAGGTCAGCTGGTCATCAAAGGTTACTCCCAGATTTCTGACCGACCTTGATGGGGTGATTGAGGAAGAATCTAGCTGGATAGTTAAGTGGTGCTCTAGAGACGGGTTGGCAGGGAGGACGAGTAGCTCAGTCTTTGTCAGGTTGAGCTGCAGGTGATGTTCCTTCATCCATGCCGAGATGTCAGCCAGACAGCTTGAGATTCGTGCAGCTACCGTGGGATCATCTGGTTGAAATGAGAGGTAGAGCTGGGTGTCATCAGCATAGCAATGATATGAGAAACCATGTGCCTGTATGATGGGTCCCAGTGATGTGGTGTAAATGGAGAAGAGGAGCGGTCCAAGCACTGAACCCTGGGGAACCCCTGTGGTCAGTTGATGTGCTTTGGATACCTCACCTCTCCATGCGACCCTGAAGGACCTACCTGTGAGATAGGACTCAAACCAGTGGAGGGAAGTTCCAGTGATGCCCAGTGATGAGAGAATGGACAGTAGGATCTGATGGTTCACAGTGTCGAAGGCAGCAGACAGATAGAGGAGGATGAGAACTGATGATTTGGAAGCGGTATGAGCTCCATACCAAGTATGAGCTCTTATCCTCTGGCAGAAGATATGGGTACCCCAATCTAAACTTAACATTTCAAAACTATAGCACAATTTGGACCTACCTCAATTAAAACTTTAAATAATGTTGTTTGAGGCTGGTTGTGTAATAGCTTCATGATGTAATGCAAATGGTTGTGTGTTGCTCTTGTCACTGTTTGTGAAAGATGAGCAATAGATTGTTGTTGTGTGATGTGCTTCAGACTGACTACATATCATTATGTTTATGTTTTTTTTTTTTGTAAGTATATGTCAGTTGTATGATAAAACAATAAGTCACGTGTTATGTGTGAAGCATTTGACCTCAAGGTAAATATCCCTCTGAGGACAATAAAGGAGGCTATCACCCAAAGTGGATCATCCGCAAACCATGATATGTAAAAATTAAAACGTTGTTCTGGGACTATAGCAAACACATCGTTGGAAAGGTCTCAACCTGAAGAGTAACATATTTCAGTCTGAAGAGGATACATTACTCCTGCTTTGAAATATTGACCTCTGAACCTTGAACCCAGTCCATCTTAGTTTGTAATTTAGCAACAGAAGGTGCTAAACACATAGACCAGCATTTATATATAAAGCTCTGGGCCTCTACTGTCATGTAGATATGGTCACCAAAGTTTACCCACTGTATAAGCACTGTCAAATATGGAAATAAGCTATCTCACCTATTTAACGATTAATTTTTTGAAATCTGATAACACCAGTGTGTTCCCCATCCCAAAAAGACACAGGGTGTATCCAGAATTTTACACTTTTAACTTCTAATTGTGAGAAATATACCAATATACTTTAAAACTACAACTCCCATAAGAGACGCGCCACACAAAGCGAGTGCTTATGTGTAGTTATTCCGGGGTGGGGGTGGGGGGACATGTTCGTGTAACTATGTAACTATGGCCGTGAATGGGCTTCATTCCATTGCAGATTGCCGCCGGCCGATGAGCACACAATACATGAGACAAATATATTAAACTGTATTTTATTATTGTCATCTTTATTGTTTAAATCCTCAAATACAACGTTAGACAAAAACATCAATATTACGAATACTGTGTATTTCTTTTATCTTTTTTATTCAAGAAATGTTTTACAATAGTGCAAAAACACATTTCTTAGAAATCTAGAACATTTTCAAAAAAGCATATATTAAATAAATTAAGTCAATTTTGCACAAATATATAGTTTTTATCTTCTTATCCGCCGAGCGGCACATACTACGTCACTTCCGGAGTCTTCGGTCGGTAATCGGTATTACCAAAGTCCTTTCTCTGGTATTGCGGCTGGTACAAAGCTGAGCAACTTGTTGTTGCTGGTGACAACCAATGACAACCGATTCTGTGAATGAATGCCCGCATTGCATTGTGGAGTCTTTGCGTCTAGCTCGGATCATATGTTCTGTATTACAGCATACTGTATTATTTCACCGTAAATAAGACCGAAATATTAAAATAAATAAATACCATAACATATAAATGAATATTGACAGTTTTAAAAATATAAACAAGAAACCCAGATTGGCCCATATAGACTGAAATAACAAAAGTAAAAAAATATAGTCTTCTGCTTTTACCCATCTAGACTTGAACACACACATTTAGTGCATCAAGGTCAATGGAAGGCCACAGTGCAGCAGCCAGGGTTTCATGTGCCTTGCCTTTAGAAAACTTCCTGAATTAGAAAGCATGCTTTCAAATTTTTAGAGGCTTATGGACCCTCTTGACCTCTGGTCCTGGTAAGCCTGTTCATTTATCCACCCCTGCCTACCTCAGCTACCGTTTATACAGAAAATGTATGGTTTAGCTGGTGGAATCAACGGTTCCTTAATGGTGTCAATTAATATGAATGAAAACATGTCCCACCTTCCTACATACTTTGTGCATCACATTACAATATATCATTTGATGCATTGAAGACTTCAGATGATTGGCTAAACCACAAGGTGAATGGAAAGACAAACAGAAATAAAGGTATACATCGATTTATTTGAACACAGCTTTTAACAAACATAATTAAAAAATAAATTAAAAAACAGCATGACAGCATGTTAGGGTGGAAACCATTGAAAGTGTGTAACGCGGCTCCTCCTCATCTAAAGTAGTCACATCCGCAAGCAGGATGGCTGGGCCCGTAACGGCAAACTTGACATCTCATAGCAGGTATTTAACTCATTGAATTACAGACCAATGTGTGACATTACACATGGTTGGCACCTGGTGAGAACTGGCAGGCCGGCTCCCATGTCTCCTCCCAGATTTTTCCACTGTAAGTATCAGTAATATAACATTAGAACAGTGAAAAACAGGAGCCATTTTAACAATAGTTTCACAGCATAAATATTTTCAAAAAATATTGTACGGTCTTGTATTTCATTGTTTTTATAAAACCTATACATATATAGTGCTTGATGAAATGTAACAGATAAACATCAGCCACTCTCATAGATAAAGTCATAGAAAGTCAATAGCTGACATCAGTCAACAAGGATGATCTTGGCCGATACTGATGTTCTGCCAATATATTGGTGAAGGTCTACTTCCTACATAGACATTACACCGGGGGAATTATGCATAGTACTGAAAAGAGCAAGTGGCTAAATCCTGTAGACAATATTTGACACTGCATTTAATCCACCCTATACCAATTGGTATACTGGTATATACCCTATGGATCTACAATTAGAATATTGTGCAACATTTGAAGCAATTTGTGTTGATTTAATCTTGATTACAGCTCATGAAAAAAATAAAAATAAATAAAAAAATCAATCAACTCACTACATTATAATAAAGAGGAATACAGAAATGTCGACCTTTCAAAAATAAATGAACAAATCTGACTTATCAAAAATTGTTAATGCATACACTCTATACTTGGTGTGGCTGCTTTTGCACAAATTCCTGCATCAGTGTGGTGTGGTGTGGAGGCCATCAGTGTATGGCATTGCTGAGGTGTTATAAAAGCCCATGTTGCTTTGATAGTGACCTTGAAGTTGTCTCTAATGTTGGGTTTGGTTTCTATCATTGTCCTCTCTATGGGGTTCAGGTGAGACGAGTTAAGCACAGCAATACCATGCTAAGCAACCCAGTTACTAGCAGTTTTCGCACTGTGGCAGGGGCAGAGTCCTGCTGGAAAAGGATATCAGCATGTGCGTAAAGCTCGTCAGCAGATGGAACCATGCTCTAAAATCTCCAGGTAGAAGGCTGCATTGACGCTGGACCTAAAACCTAGTGGACATGACAATTCTCTCAACGCTGCTTTTTGGTTGCAAAACTTTGAGACCCACCTGTACATTTAAAGTTGTGTGTGCTACAATATAAATTTCAACCTTTATCCACTACCTATGAGATGGTAAAAAGTGGAAAAAGAGTACATGTATGAAGGCAATATAAACCAATATAAAGCAGTACTTACCATGCAGAGCAAGGTAACCATTTCACCCTTACTTCCTCTTGCCCCTACAGAAAGACAAAAACATATAATCAGGTTTTGAATTTCATAATTTTTGGGGCAAGGCCACTTGGCCTTCAGTTGAACTTAAATGGACTCAAATTACCAATGCTTAAATGGTCAGTATTTTGTGATATGTGAAATGCCAGATGAGCCACAGACAATGGAGAGATGATCAGACAGCCTAATGAAAAATATTTTTCTTACCTCGTTTATCCTTCGTCCTGTTATGGAGTCATATTTGAAAACTTTTTGCCTACTACATTTCCGGCAACCTTAAAATGACAATAAAAAATAATAATAATATTAATTAACCATAAATGTAAAAAAACCCTGGAAATTAAACTTAAAGTTAAACTTAAAGTTTCATAAAACCTGGGGAACAACTTTAAGCATTGTCCTTGAACTTTGAAAACATCAGAAAATACAGCTAAATAACTGAAGAATACATATATAAAGGGCCATTCACACCAAAAACGATAACTATATAAAAAATATTGCTCTCGTTAATATGATAAACTATAACGAGATTGAGAACAATATTGTTGGGGATCGCTTTTAAAGCGATTTTGAGAACAATAAAAAGAAGAGCTAACAACCAATAGGAACCCATCACATCTTAGCCATCATATTTATTAACACAAGGTGAGACTTTGCTTATAGCTGGTCAGTCTGTTTGGATGCTTTTATCGTTATAGTTCCTGGAATTAACTGCTCTTTAGCCATTAGATTCAGTGATTTCATAGCCGAAATTTAGCCTAATTATCCTACTGCCTGGCCTAAAGGTTATTGAAGCAGGCTGGGGCTGGTGAGTGGGCCCCATTTGGGCTGCCCAGATGGGGCCCAGTTAATTTTGTCCGGGGGTTCCATGGTGGCCCCATGTGGGCAGGCCCATATGGGCTGAAGGTGGGGTTCACATGGGCCTAGCTAAAACCCACATGGGCAACCCAGGTTTCTCCCATATGGGCTGAAGGTGGGGTTCACATGGGCCCTAGCTAAAACCCACATGGGCAACCCAGGTTTCTCCCATCTGGGGCCCACACTAGCTGGGCCCCATGTGGGCTGATTATGGGTCCCTGCTTACCATTAATAACCACTATTATTATGGGCTATAAAATTCATTTTGGGGCTTATTTTACAGTCAGCCCATACAGTTAGGGTCAACCCTTTTGGGTTACAGTCAGCCCTTGTAAAAAGTCAGTATTTTTGTTTACACAGCAAATTAAATATTCTTCTTCTCATTATTAGACTTTTAAATCAATACAGCCTTAACAATTTATGTAAAAATATTTAACAGATGTTTACTTGAGCTCAATATTACCAATGGTATACATAATTTATGGTTCGTATTCGCCATTTACCCCTCTGAAATTTGAATTATTTAAAAAAATAGAAACAAGATTTTATCATTATTGTTGCTCATTTCTTACAACTTAATCAGAACAGGTGAAAGTTATTTTTTGTGTGGTAATAGCAGGTGCAGAAAGAACATTTGCACACACAGCAGGCCCAGTAATGAGGAGGACACACTTAAGTTTCATAGCACCAACAATTATTACACTTGGGTCCAGTAGACCCGAACACCTCATATGTAATAGTTGTGAAGGAGGGTGTACCATGCAGTCATTGAAAATAAGTTATTTTTTATGTTCTTCACGGAAAATGAGCCATGGCCAATAAGTTTGAGTTAGAAGAATTAATAAATAGCGTTACTTTTTCTTTTAGCAAACATTGAAAACGGGTCCCACAGACCCGAACACCTTGGGTTAAACAAGCTACAATAACAAAGAGACCAGTAATACAATTACATTTTTATTTAAGTAAAATTTAAGACAACATGCTTTTGCACAGTGTTCCCTCACTGTCACAGACAAAATTAGTTTCTTTCCACCTCAAATGAGCCTGAAGCCTGAAGTCTTTGTTGAGGGGTTGCTTGTCGGGCCTGTCTATTACCCCCCCGGTCTCTAGCACCGATGAGCCACTTGGAGACCGCCTTCTCGGCATCTTTACGGATTTGGCTGGTCATGGCGTTTTTCTTTAAGCCTCCTTCAAGAAACAAATATAACGCTCACTTACTTAATATGTGCCAACATAACTCTTAGCCAGGACTGTAAAGACAACTATGTTAAGAAAAGCGCTATATAAACTAAGATTATTATTAGAAATACACACATTCTCTTGAACACTCAAGCTAAGCAACTGAGAGAAATGTGAGAACACAATGCTCAGCCAGGACAACACATGCTCCATTCACAATATTTAAAAAAATTGACATGTTTATAACGTTAGGTTATTGTGACACTATATTATCAATACAACTTAAAACATTATCCACATGGACACCTACCATATATTACTTCATACAGTTTTAAGGCCTTGAACTCTCTCTTCTCATTTCGGCCCACAAAGTTATACTGCCTGGATAGGCCATGGTCTAGGAGGAAGGTCATCATCCTTTTTGTGGCCTCATCAACAGTCGCCCCCCATATGTCAGTCACAGCTGCAACCTGAGGGGGAACAAAGGACATACAAAGCAAATTTATCTACAGTATATTGCTCAATGGAGTAAACTACTCAACATGAAAGAGCTGCCAGAAGCATGGGTGTGAGCTAGGGGTGGAACAGTACATGTATTCATATTGAACTGAAACGATACGGGCATAACGGTTCGGTGCATGAATAAACAGAGAATACACGGTATAAAAATAAATAAGGGGCTGTTTACACCTGAAAAACCTGCCATAAACTATCACAAATCAAAGTGAAAGTCGCAGATGCTTAACACAACCATCTTCATTAAGAGAAAAGAAACAAAATGATCTTACCAGGGCTGTTGCCGCTCTCTCTTATTGCCGTCTTTGATTTTAAAATTAGCTGATGAACAATAAAATGCAGCAATATTTGTTGCTTTCTGTGACGTACACTCCATTAAATCTGCATATAGCGTGGGAATTGAAGATCAGATGTATATCCGTTTTGCAAAAACACATTTATGTGACCAGGTGTAAACGGAATCGTTTTGATAAATCAGATAGCTATCCGATCTGAGAAAACGCATGAAGTGGCCAGGTGTAAACAGCCCCTAGCATGCAAATTGACGTAATGCGGAACTACTGTTAGATACGCGGTTTTCTTTAGGGACACCTAATCTGTAGCTCTGCTGCTCCGCTCTATAATGAACAGGCTGCAATGTCAAGATTGCAGTGCTGGAGTGTGTGTGTGTGTATGAGAGAGGCACGGGTCAATTAAACAGTGGAAACAAAACCACACTCTGTCCTTTTGTTCATACAGGACATCATTCAAACTGCAAAGTGTTTACTTATATCTGGTACACTCGTAATAATAACACAACATTGTCCTTTTGTCAAACTGTGACCTACAACTGTCACCCAACCAAACTCACACACAAGCTGTTTAAAATATGCCATCTTTTGGACTTTCACAATACTGCATTGGTTTTCATTTCTTGTCCTCAAACAGATCATAAATCTGTTTATTTTAAGATGCACATTCTACATTAATTAATGAACTACATTTTAATTAAAAAAATAATTATGTAATATTGTCAATGTACTACAAATAGACTGGTTCTATGCCTTTATTAATAAAACTTATTTAAAAAATACAAGGTTTAAGACATTTGTTTTACTTTGGTGATATAGCCTGAGGCATGCCAAATAAAAAAACAATGGCTTGTAAATTTTTGTTTTGCTTTTTCCTCCATTGTACCGAACCGTGATTTTTGTATACTGTTCCAACCCTAGTGTGAACACACTTGAGAAGTTTCACGAGTTCACACTTACATACAATTAAAGGGAATAAAGTATAATGTGTATTTGGCGTGCTGTCCGGGGGGAGGGCTCCGAGCTCAGAATTCGGCCCGAACCCAGAGTACTCCCCTCCTGTATGTCAGGTGATTTAGGACTAGAAGGGTGGAGAAGGGGTGGTGGAGGGACGCTGCTAAACTGTCGGAGAAATGAGGTGAGACTGCTGAGTCTATATATACACGTTTTAATCATGATTGCTGAGTGCTCTCCACCCGTGTTAATTATCTGAATGTGCTTCTCCCAAACTTTGTTAATAAAACATCATTTCAGATCAAATTCACAGCAAGCCCCCAATAAAATTACCCTAGACAAACATACCAGTTCGGACATGAAGTTCGGGTTTGCCAGTTTTTCTTCCATGATTTCCACATCCCTAACTGTCTTTAGGGGGAAACCCTCTGGGATAGAAGAGATGGTGGTGCTAATGTTGCCACGCTGTTGTAGAAGCGTTTGTAGTATCCTCCCCTGGATTTTTTGTGTCTCTTTCATCTCCTCAAGCAGTGTTAAGATGCGAACAAACATGTTGTCCCTGATTTGTCTTTGAGGGGTTTCTGGTGACATGGTAATGGGTTGAAACACTGGCCATCTAAGGGTACCCGGAGGTGGTGGAGGTGTCGGCCTAGTAGATGGAGGCAGTGGAAGTGAAGATCGGGGTGTAGATGGAGGCAGTGGAAGTGAAGATCTGAGTGATGGAGGCAGTGGAGGTGAAGATCTGGATGGAGGCAGTGGAGGTGAAGATCTGAGTGATGGAGGCAGTGGAGGTGAAGATCTTGATGGAGGCAGTGGAGGTGTCAGCACAGATCTACACCGTACAAAAATTCACACTGTAAAAATCTTGTGCAACAACAAAAAAAATCTTAGTACTAATTTTCCCCAACTTTTTCTTTTGACTCAACTTTTGTAAATAACATTACAAACTGAAAAATATGTTGTCTGTAATACAAAAAAAAAAAAAAAATAGTTTAGTTGAGTCAACTTATTGTTTTCTGGAGATGTGTCACTATTCTGTAACAATTGTAGTTGAGCCAATTCAACATTTTGTGTCTACTGGAAACAGTTATAATAAGAATAAACAGGTCCAGATCTTCTAATCACTTCTGTCCAGGAATAAGATTAGTGATTTATTCTAGTTTATGAAGCTGAAAACTTCATTCATGATCATCTTGGTTTCTTTCTTTCTAAGCAAAAAAATATGCGTTTTGTTAAACACTGTTCAAAGACCACAAACTTACACAAAAAAAGCCAAAGAATCTAACCATCCAACCTAAGGAAACTCATCACTAAATGGTAAAACATTTAACAGTGTAGAGGTGATTACCTGAGGGTGGATGGAGGTGTAGGCCTGATTTGGCTGCCGGACCAATTGTCATCATCCTCATCCTCACTGGACAAAATCACTTGCCTAGAAATGTATAATATACAAGCCCAATCAATGAGTTAAAGCATTTTTTTTTATTATTTGTTGGTTAATTGTGTATCTGCTGTCTACCTCCCATGTTTTGACAGCTTTGAGTCAAATACACTTAACAAAACTTTTCCTTCCTGTGTCATTGGGAAATTCAAATTTTCATCATCCATTTAGAAGCAGTAGTTCAAAATCAATAGCCTCACCTCTTTTTGCGCTTCCCCCTTCCAGTCTTCACTGTAGAATCGGACTCGGTTGGTACTCGGTTGCTAATTTTCTGCGGGCAATTTCATACGTAGCTTTGGAGACAGACAAATGAGTGGCAATTAGTTTAATTCAGAGCTAATTTAAACCGAACCAACAGTGAACTCAACATGTCAAATAATCTCATACAAATAGACACATTACCGACTTTTCTCTTGACAGTCAACTTGTATGTCGCCCAGTCAGTGTGAGGGTCCTGTTGCTCTATGACCGCCTTTGCCATGTTCATCCTTGTTGGTGGCCAGTAGCATTCATCCTCCTCAGGCCCGACAAACCATTTGGTCGGTATAACTGCCAATCCCCAACCATTTATAAATTCAACTATCCCGAAAGGTAACATGCTTAAAGAAAAACAAATACATACAAAAAATTTAAACAAACAACAAAAAATTAAAGCTGCAAGCAGCGTTGGGCGGGCCCTCGCACTTGTAGCGCGTCCGCGCGTGAGCCGGCCGAGTTGCATATTCTGGAGCTCTGCCGGTGCGGCTGTGAATTTTACGCGGTTATGACGCCGCATGAAGGTGTTATATGTCACTTCCTGTGTCCCCTATGTGGAGCTACATAGCACTTGCCGCTATGAATATAAATCGGTATTGGTGTGTAGATGTCTGCGGGGTGGGAGAGTTATCAAGCACGTAAAGTTTGTTTCAGATGTGAGCATGTACACTGAACAATAATGTACCCAAACAATAAAATAAATTCCTTTTATATTTCCCTGCCTTGTTGTTTATGTGTACATACAGAGGAAGAATGTGAGAACAGCACACATTTCATCGTTACTGTGTGTTAGAGCATGGGAGAACAGTGGATACTTTTAATACAGCCCACACCCCTAATACTGTGTAACTATAACAAGTAGAGAACAGAAGAAAAAGATGCCCATAGCTTGATCATATTGTGTAATGAATGAAAATAAATAGGCCTACTAGGCTCCTCTCTACTTTGACATTTAAGATTAGCTTGTTTGATCCACCTTCATACACATGTGACATTACTGTACAACTTGAGAAAGGTGAGTTGTTTTCTGCTCCAGCCTGCCTAAAAGAAAAGCGTTTTTGGGATTAAATGGACTTTATTAGCTGCTGCAGTGCAGGATGAACTCAGAATAGACCCATTTCTCACCTTATTATTCTAAATCATGCAACGAAGAAGAAGAAATGCATAATAAATCCTGGGACAAAATCTGTCCACAAATACTGTACAGCATGTAGTCTAATGAACAAGACTTGTGTTATAGCTGACTTGGGCAGTGAAATGTTTAATTTTTTTAATTCATGTGGTCATAGTTGTCCACAACTCAAATCAGAATATAAGAAGAAATGTTTTATACCACCTCAAGAAGGCTTCCTATCAGAAAGGTAGGAAGGTATTTCAAATGTACAACTGCAGTACTTAAATCTAAGTAAAGTAATTTCCCTGACATTACTGTGTTATGCATGTAACAGGTTTTATACTTCCTGTGAGTATAATCCAATCAATCTTATTTTCATACTGTATATCCGTTGTGTAATTTGATAAATTGTGTTGTGTGCTCGCATCGGGTACTGCTGAGACTCATTGCCCTCTTCAGAGAAGACTCTGACTGCAACATGCGTCTTTGTAAAGAGAGAAACGGACAGAAAAAGTCTCTAACTCTGCCTGTCAGCTCGCTCTGCTCCGTTAAAACTGAATTTACCATACAGAATTGAATACGAGTGCACTCCAGATTTAGCGGCAGCCAGCTGACCGTGTGCTTCTCCCTATACCGCAGTTCTGTGTCCATGCATGCAGCAAACTGAAAGCACTGTCTGTCGGAGCGTCTACGTGAAAAGAGAAGGAAGACATGCTGGTAGTGTCTTCAGAGTTGTTAAACACCTCAGCGCACTGAAGGAAGCCATCTGACTGTGTGAGGGGCAAGATCGTTGATGTCTGCAGGCAGAGTAGGCCTAGCTCTCCTGTCTGACTGGTCCACCAATAGCAGAGAAGATGACCCCTTGAGACACAGCCCCTCCTCATTTGCATAATGAGACAGAAATTTAAAAAGGACAGGCAGAAATAAATACCATGGGTGAAAATAAATAAGGTAAAAAATACAAAGGAAGAATAAAACAGACAAAAATATTAAAACACACACATAAATAAATATATTAAAAAAATTAGTAATAAATAAAGTTGAAGATATAAGAATAATAAATAAGGTAATTATAACAAAGGTGAATAAGTAAAGGCACTAATTAAAATATACATTTATGTCTCCTTGTATAATTTAATTACTACCAACATTTATTTATTTACTTTATTTTTTTGTGTATTTAATTGGAGCTTATTTATTTATTGAGCATTTATTTATTTCTGTATTTATTTCTGACTGTGTCAGGATCGGTCCTCCATAGCGGGGTGGGAGAGTTATCAAGCACGTAAAGTTTGGTTCAGATGTAGCATGTACACTGAAGTTACAACAACTTCCTGTGTCATGGCGAAGACTTGATCTTGACGCCACGCCACGGACACACCCATTGACGAAAACTCGCAAATAGCACAACTTTTCATCTTCAATGCCTTTAGAAGGCACAGCACAAATTTGAAGTCGGTCGGACTAAATCCCTAGGAGGAGTTCGTTAAAGTACGAAGTGTGTAAATCATCCAAAATTTGACGTAAAATTCAAAATGGCCGACTTCCTGTTGATTTTAGGGCATCGCTCCAAAGGCTTTTTTGTGCGTCTGGACAAGATACACGTACCACAGAAAATTCGTGCACGTAGGTGAAACGTGCGGCGGGGGCTGCTTCGTTAAAAGTCACTTCCTTTGCCAGCAGGTGGCGCTATGACTGTGGGTGAATGTCAGCATGTACATGTGTTCAGGGCGGGACTCTCATCCTACATGTACAGTTTGGTGCAGATGTGAGCATGTACACTGAAGTTACGACAACTTCCGTGTCATGGCGAAGAGTGATCTTTGACGCCACGCCACGGACACGCCCATTGACGAAAACTTGCAAATAGCACAACTTTTCATCTTCAATGCCTTTAGAAGGCACAGCAGAAATTTGAGGTCGGTCGGACTAATCCCTAGGAGGAGTTCGTTAAAGTACGAAGTGTGTAAATCATCCAAAATTTGACGTAAAATTCAAAATGGCCGACTTCCTGTTGGGTTTAGGCTATGGCTCCAAGAGACTTTTTTGTGCGTCTGGACAAGATACACGTACCACAGAAAATTCGTGCACGTAGGTGAAACGTGCGGCGGGGGCTGCTTCGTTAAAAGTCACTTCCTGTTGCCAGCAGGTGGCGCTATGACTGTGGGTGAATATCAGCATGTACATGTGTTCAGGGCGGGACTCTCATCCTACATGTACAGTTTGGTCCAGATGTGAGCATGTACACTGAAGCTACGACAACTTCCGTGTCATGGCGAAGAGTTGATCTTTGACGCCACGCCACGGACACGCCCATTGACGAAAACTTGCAAATAGCACAACTTTTCATCTTCAATGCCTTTAGAAGGCACAGCAGAAATTTGAGGTGGTCGGACTAAATCCCTAGGAGGAGTTCGTTAAAGTACGAAGTGTGTAAATCATCCAAAATTTGACGTAAAATTCAAAATAGCCGACTTCCTGTTGGGTTTAGGCTATGGCTCCAAGAGACTTTTTTGTGCGTCTGGACAAGATACACGTACCACAGAAAATTCGTGCACGTAGGTGAAACATGCGGCGGGGGCTGCTTCGTTAAAGGTCACTTTCTATTGCCAGCAGGTGGCGCTATGACTGTGGGTGAATGTCGGCATGTACATGTGTTCAGGGCGGGACTATCATCCTAGATGTACAGTTTGGTCCAGATGTGAGCATGTACACTGAAGTTACAACAACTTCCTGTTTCATAGCGAATCATCGACGCCACGGACACGCCCATTGACGAAAACGCGCAAATAGCACAACTTTTCATCGTCAATGCCTTTAGAAGGCACAGCAGAAATTTGACGTCGATCCGACTAAATCCCTAGGAGGAGTTCGTTAAAGTACGAAGTGTAAATCATCCAAAAATGGCCGTAAAATTCAAAATGGCCGACTTCCTGTTGACTTTAGGCTATGGGTTCTTGAGGCTTTTTTGTGCGTCTTGATATGATACATGTCCCCAGAAAATTTCGTACA